ACCTCAGGAGCAGGTTTACTTCATACCTGTGTTGAATTGTTTGAGTCGTCGTTGACGGTCTGGCTCCACACGGCCGACGGCTCCTGTTTGGTTTCCATGGCTACGGAGCACCAGGCCCTTCAGCAGCCGCCACGCTCCTCTCCTGACAGCGTGGGATGCCTAAAGTACAAAATAAATACATACACACCAGTTATTCTACAACACTGTCACAAAAAACAAAACTAAACTGATTTTAGATCATATTATTTCACATTGCCAGACTTTCTTTGTCAAAGATAACTAACTCATAGAAAACGCAGTTGTTTAAAAGATTCCTCTGCCAAGTTATGAATTTTTCTATTAATATGTAAACTACCTGAAATATAGCTGGGTAATTAAGTACGGATTTCTAAAGGAAGATTTAAATTTATCTTTGTTTGCAGATTTTTTGTTCAAAACTGCCTCTTGAAGAGTTCTGGCAGAGCAAATTTACAGACAAAAAGGTTTTCCCCCCCATTTTAAATGCAAAATGTATATATTTTTGTACAGTTATTATTGCTTTGAGGGTAATGTTCAAATTACCTTTTAATTTCTGCATACTCTACTTAACAATCAATTACTAAATTAGTAGATGATTTACTTCAATAATCCTTTCATCACGACTAATCGTTTCAACTCTACATAAATCGGATGAACATTTTATTTTGACAGGTTTCTTGTAAGACTACTACTAATCATCAAGCAAAATTTAGAATCAGATATTGATAACCTGACTACAAATAAGAACATATTTATACATGATATTATTTCTGACTGGAAAAAACATAAATAAATCTAGTCAGGCCCTGTGTGGAAAAGTAATTCTTAAATCCTGAATTAAACTTAAATAACCACATATTTGGAGAGTTGAGAAGCTAAAAACAAAGCAAGTTACTGTGTGAGCTGTTCAACCAACAAATCACTTTAACAGAACCTGCCAGACATCATGAAGTAGGCCAAAATAACTTAAAAAGCACATGCATGAAAGGAGTTTTCACAAGAAAATCCTGAAAAGTTTTAACTCCATTGAGGTTATGATTCAGTACAATAATATAAAATATATTCAAAGTGAATATGTGATGGTCCTGGAGGGGGTCTAGTCAAAGTCTAGAGTTAGATTATGTGAAATGAGCTAAATCAGGCAGTTTATACTTAAAAACCTCCAAATGTGACAGAATTAAAACATTTCTGTGAAGACTGGGAGGAAATCTGGACAAACATTTGATGAGGTTTAGGGCTTGATTGGAGTTTGGTCTGAAATATTTAAGCATGCCAGAGGAAATCAGTGAGGGGGCCAATACTTTTTTCATAGAAAGCTCTGGAAAGTAATCATCTTTATTCTGTTTTATTTTATTCTGTTTTAGCCCGGATGTGGGACAACATACTACATATGCATTTATTAAAAATATATGTAATGTGATGCTATTGATAACTAGTGACATTCAGCCACAGTTTTGATCCAATGGCAGGCCGGGATTGCCAAAATAAAGCTGCGTGAAGCTGCGTGAGCAGAGCCGCCACATGAGCCTCTCTGCGGGGGAACGTTCCACAGAAAAAGGCCGGTGATCCGCAGGCCGCTCCGGGTGAAGGAATCTAAAAACACAGCCGCAAATCCAAACGGAAAACACCAATTCTCTCCTCTCATTCATAAACCCACTTGGTATAATCAATAAAATGTTCATTCCCCCCTATTTTAACCCCGCAGGTTGCCGGTCCCAACCGGACCATACCACAGAAAGCAGCGCTGTGGAAACACGGGCAGTTGCTACGCCGCAACGCCAGCAATACGGCCGTGTAGCCCCGCACGGAGGCCGGGCAGTCCGCCTAACTCCACTTATCACACTGCGGAAAACTCCACTCATCATCCGCTTTGAGGCAAACGGGTTTTTTTAAACCGTTAAGGACCGAAATATTTGGCTAAACCCACCCGTCCCCCATTTCTAGTTGAGCCCAGCCCTTCGAGTCTGCCGTGAAACAAGGAAGAACGGGCTCCATTTTGGGTGGGACTAACAACAACAGCTACATCCAAAGAGACCTACGCAAAATAAATATATTATCCGCCGGAGGATATCCGCAAAAACAAACCGAGATTTTAATTTGCGACACTATAAACACCTCTGAACAGTCGAGCTACAGACCTGATCGCTGTTTAATCCCATGAATTCTTACATTTTGTCGAAAACGCACAAGTTGTTCTTACCTCAGAATGGTAGCTGCAGAGATGGCTGCATTGCATATATTAACATAATCTACCTAGCAACACGCCAGAGCGCGGTATCTGATTGGTGGCTGTAAACTTTGGCGCAAAGGCACTATAGACCGGTTTTAAATCAATATTTGACCAGTCATGCCGATATTTTCATTACGGTAAGTGTTTTTGCTTTCGCACTAAAGCTACCGTCTACCTCTCTTAAAACTGTGTGACATAATTTTTAAATTTCAGCCACATGCACAGCCAATCAGAAAATTTAAACCCTGACGTTGTCCAATCACATTTTACGTTACTGTGAGTAAGATTTTTACTTTTTCCAGTGTAAAAATCCATCTGATTTTAATTTATGTATGTGACTCATTTGTAAAAAGATCCCTTTCACATTAATGGTACAAAATAGTCTGAAGTTTAATCAGTTTTCTGACGCCTATTGATCATATTTAGAAACAACTGGATTTTTCTCCATTTTCCAAATTTGGTCAATATAAACAAACAAAAAAAAAAACATTTTGTCAGCTAAAACTAATTGAGTTTAACTTTATAGTTTACAAGAACAGCTTTATTAGTAAAAACAATGCAAATATTTACATTTAGTAATCATTTTAAAATATCCAAGATTGAGTAGTATATTTTTGTAAAGATCTGGGTAAGGTGATAAGAAATCTCATGACCTAGTTTCTCAAAGTAACCACTAAAGGGAGCCAAACACTCACAGATACAAAATAAATAAATTAAATTAAATTAATAAATGGGGTAATGGTTCATCAAGAATAAAGAAAATCATAACTAGACCCATGAAAACAATGCTGTGAGGGTTTATGGAGCTGATGTTACTAAGGGAAATTAGGTACGTTTCCCTTTCCTTTTTGTTCTAGACTTTATTTCAGATAACTCCAGGGATTTCCCTGAGGCACAATCACATCATTAACTAGGAGCTGAATTTTCCCAAAGCAGCCAGAAACTCAGCAACTGGAATCTGAGCAATTCAGCACATGTCTGCTTTAAATAAGCTGCAGAAGTGAAATAATAAACCTTCATAAAGAATATCCAGCAAATTAGAGGGTCGTCATCAGACTTCCTGGTGGAGCAGCCGAAGGGAAATTCATGATGCAATAATGAATTGCTCTCATTTAGTGACAAAATCTCTGAAACCTGAAATGTGCAGAAATATTTGAATGCATTACACTCATTCAAATATTTATATTATATATTATATTTATAATATTTGAATGACTACAACATCAGGAAAAAGGAGCATGAGAAACTGGAGAAATACCAGGGCCTCAGTGAGGAACTGGAGAAGGCCTGGAAGGTGAAGACCACAGTGGTGCCTGTGGTCATCGGGGCCCTCGGGGCAGTCACCCCCAAACTGGAGCAGTGGCTCAAACAGATCCCAGGAACAACATCAGACATCTCAGTCCAGAAATGTGCAGCCAAGATACTGCGCAGAACCCTCAAGCTCCCAGGCCTCTGGTAGAGGACCCGAGCTCAGAGGATGAAAGAGACCCCCCGCAGAGGGTGAGAAGGGAATTTTTTTTTTTTTTTTATGATTGTGTTTCCTTTGACGTCCTGTTAAGCACTTTGGTTTGCCTTGTGTCTGAATGAAGCCATATAAATGCAGTTTTCTTGCCTATAAAGGTGAAATTAAATAAAAACATTGCAACTAATAAAAACAAGGCTGAATGAGGGCATAAGTTTATTGTCATACAGCATGAGGAGAGGACATAAGGCAGTTAAAAAAAACTCAATATCAGAAATACAGGATAGATTGATATTTTTGTGTCACGAAGGTTTCATAATTGGCTAAGCCTTGCCAAAAGTGAAATTAAATGAGAAACAGATAGTATTTGTTTTATTTAGCTTAGCTAAAATACAGAAAACTTTGTTTTTTGTGCTTTAATTGGACTCTTCTGGGCGCTAAGATGTAACATTTTATTGTAATAACGAATGTAAACAATGACTTTAGCAACACTAGGTTAATAAAACACAAATAGCAAGTACACTTCACACACTATTAAGTGACAGTTGATTTTAGAAGAAAGTGATGTGCAACTCTTTATAACTTTATGGTTAATGTACAATTATTGTAAAAAAAAAACAATAATTTGTAGTATTATTATGTATTAAAATGATAATTTAATAATTCTCCTTTAAAAGGTAGCTTAATGTTTTTAAGGCCTTTTATTTTAAGACCATTCAGCAGAAACACCTAAATGAAAAGCTAATGACTCGATGCGATTTACCAAGCTCCATGAAGCAAGTTTGATGCTCAGAAAATCTGATCAGATGGACCACAATAACCATCGTTTTGATATTTTAAGGACCAAAATGACAGCAATTCATATAAGTAACAAAAAATAACAAAATCAGCCAAAAAAAGTTTCCAAATCAGCTTCTTTCAGAAAAAACTTGTGACACTTTAGCTAAAACTGCAGCTGTGCCTCTGCATCTGGTGAATTTTTGGTTAGAACTTGTTCGTTTTTCATTCAGTGAAGTTAATGAATCCAAAAATTTTGCTCACTAGAGTAATGATATATAAAAATAAAATTACTCAAGTAAAAGTAAAAAGTACAACTTAGTAAAAATATTCCTAAAAGTACATTAATTTTGAAGAAGATACTCAAGCAAATGTAAATTCTTGCATATTCGGCTGTAATTATTTGTTGGGCCGTTTTAAAAGTCAGTGAGATTACAACGCTGGCCGCCTGGTGGCGCTGTTCCCTCTCCAGCTGCTCAGCTCGGATAGAGGGGAGGCGTAAACGAGGGAGGAGGCAGTGAAGGGAGAGAGGAACCACAATTTGCCCACATTTCCACAGCAGTCCGACACCGAGGTGCTTTCCAGTCGAGCTCCGTGGTCCGAAACAAGCAGAAACCTTTTTATTTTGACCCGTTTGGTTGAGCCGGGTGGGGGGAAAACTCCTGAAATATCCCGGGACCTGGTTTGTTTGCTCTTGACTCCTGCGGACGCCTGCGCGCAGGAACAGCTGAGGGGGATATAAGTTATTTCCAGCAGATCAGCGGATCAGGAGAGCCTGGAAGATGGGTTCAGTCCCTGCGATTTCTGCCCTCGTTTTGGGCATTGTGGTTCCAGCCCTGGCCGGATACATTGAGGTAAATGTTCCCGATTTATCACTGTGATTTTAAAAGCACATTAAATCTGTGGAGCCATAGCAATAAGCGACCACGTCGTTTATTTGCGCATTATCTCGCTTCATGTGAACTGTATTGATCGGGCTCTTTGCCAACAAGTAGCCGATCTGATCGCCTCCGTTTGTTGTGTACAGATTTCTTATTGCGTTTTTGTTTAATTTAAGATCAGAAAATGCTACGAGGGAGGGTTTAATAATTAATCAGCTCGCTTTCCAGGTCATTCTCCGCCTCATTCCTGAGCTGTGATTGCAGTTTTGTCTGCGAGTCAGTGGACAATGTGCGGCCGGGGTGTCCTATAGTAGGAGGTTGAATAACAGCAGAGTTTTGCTGCAGAGATCAAATGAAAGACGCTCAGAGGGGCCTTCAGGGGACACAATGGCTTCTGCAGCGGATCATAAACCCCGAACAGAGGAAATCCTTCACCTCTGGTCCAAAATGTGGCTTTACCTGCCTCTCCAGGACGGCCACCTTCCTTAAAAGTGTCTAATTATGATTAACGTCGGCTCTATAATACATTTATGGATGGTGGCAATTTATTTACTGCATAATTCAGTTTATTTATATAAATAAATGTCATTTTAACACTTAGAATCAGATCAGTCCAAACACAGACACATTTTAGTTTGATTTATTAGTCATATTCAAATGTAATCTCTAAATCAATAGACAGCGTTTCTGTTTACCATGAAATTGCGTAAAAACAAATTTGTTTAATTGAAACGCATCAATTTGAAAAAAATCTTGTTTTTACGCTAAGATGGAGCGTTTTGTTGGATCAAAACTGCAATGGAAACACTTTTGTTTTCCGCATCACGAATCTAGTGATCAACATCCGATGTTTACTACCGGAAAAAACAACGAAGAAGACAACCGGAAGTGGGGGGAGAATGATGGCGCCATATGACTTATCACATCAACCGATTCAGCGTGACTTTAACTGTGTTTCTTATTCAGTCGAAACACCACAATTGTAAAATTGTCGAATGTTTTTTGACAAATTTGCAAACGCAGCTATTGACTGTGCAGCAATCTCTGGTCCGGACAGGGGGGTCTGTCTTTTTTGTTTCAAAGTTCTTGGTACACTAGAAATAAGACAAAAATAACTTATAGTGTTTTACTTAGAGTAGCCTATTTTAAGTAAATTATTTCTTCATATTGATGAAAACGTTCTAGTTAACTGGCAGATTATTTCACTTACAACATGGGAAAAATGTCTTGTTAGTGAAATAATCTGCCTGTGGAACTAGAACTTTTTCATCAATATTAAGGAATTATTGACTTAAAACAATCTCCTATGTTAACTGTAAGTCAGTTTTGTCTTATTTCAAGTGTACTAAGATACACTAGAAACTAGACCAAAAACACTTGGTAAGATTTTGTGTTTTTGCAGTGCAGATAGCAACATAAACAAACATTTTAGCCTCAGTCAGATAGCGGCTTTGGTGCTGTGAGGCGCAGAAGCTTCTGAAGGGCAGAAATGTCAACATTTCATGTGTTTACGATCATATCTGTCATCTTATGATCTCAGGTCACGTCTGAACCTGTGCAGTTAACAACAGTCATCCTCACTTGCTGACTTTGTTAACATTTTCAGACAAAACAATCGGTATCGATCAGAATCCGATTCGGCAAGCCAGGCTGTTTAAAAATCGGTGATCGGACAGAAAACTGCAATCAGTGCAAATAAAATGTCTTTGAATATTTTACTCTGTCAGAGTTATCACACCCAAAGCTGAACAATATGTTTTTAAATCTAAAATAAACATGTTATTGTGTAGAAATAGATCCAATGTATCAAAATACAAATTCAGTAACCATTTGAAGTTTGAAAGTTGATGCTGCTGTAAAATATGGTTGAATTATGGAGCTCAAAAGGTGCCATGGTTTTCCCACACATTTTGCCAGATTGTTGTTCTACTCTGTGGAGGAAACGTTCTGCTAAATGAGTTTTCTGCTCATTTAGACGAGGAAAATATCAACATTTTACCGGAAAAATGTACACACGGCGGTGAAAGTTGAGGCGGAAAGCAGCTTAATGTTTATTTGTGAATATTTTAAACTTGGAGTGTGTGACGTTATAAAACTCGCAAGTTGTAGCTTTTTTTTAGTCAAATTACAGAAAAAGCAGTGATGTAATGGATATCAAAACGCTAATTCAATGCTAATTAGTGACCCTTCAAACTTTGGTACGTGTTGCTGTGGTAAAATATCATAGAGATGTTAATTTTTTAAGAGGATTTTGTCAAAATCCCCTTAAAATAAAAGTGGAAATATTCAAATTTCTTTACAATCTAACATTAGTGAGTCATTCAACCTTGTTTTCAATTTATTTTTGCCTCTTTTAATGATAAAGTGGAATAAAGAAGCAAAAATTGTTAGCAAATAATTAAAATAGTCAACTGATAGAATAGTTATGATGCTGGGAACAAGTTGGGGAAATGGATACTTTTTTTTCAGTCTTGATTAACAAATAAAATCTCAGTGTCCTGTTTCCCTGCTGCCTCATCACTGCAGACTCTTGCAGAGTTTCACGTGTGTCTTGGTGCAACAAAGCTGCCATTTCCACAACAAACGGCCCCCACCCGAGGGCAAACACAATCCTTTTTCTGCTCAAACGTGACAAACATTTTCAACAAGATGTCTCCTCCAGACTCTGCTTATCAAGCTTCTTCCACTACGAAAAAATAGAAAAGTTAGCGGCTCAGCCATTTTGTGGAGGTGAAGATTGTGTTTGGAGGCAGCGATGCTGATTATTACGTCCACAATAAAATCCGTGTTGCTGCGCTTTCAGAAAGGCCACAAACCTCCAGGTCGACGCTGCGGACTCTCCTGAAATGAAAAATGGTGTAAAAGCCACGTTGCTTGTTGGCTGTATGATACAAATTCATTTGATTGTATCAAAAATGAGACTTTTTTCTTTTGTTTTTACTTTCCAAGGTTATGCATTCCTTCCTTTTAATGATATGGCAGCCATTCGGCTCAGAGTTGGAGACTGTAAAGAGAAAAAAATCTGATATTTCGGAGGCTTTGGGATACAAAGTTGCATGTCTGATTGTGTCAAATGTAAAAAAGAAAAGCTCAAATTTAAGTTTTAGGTTGTTTTCACACTTGATAGTCCAATAGATTTGGTTCACTTGGGACTAAAGTTGCAACATTTGCTACATTTTCAGCTGGTTTGGTTCCCTTTCACACTGCAAACGATCTAAACTCTTTGAAAAACCAGTTCTCCTCCTCGCCTGTGGTGGCGCTGCATCAAAAACCAGTGAAGAAGACACTGAGCGCAACTTCCTTCTTCACAAAATGTAAACAAAAATGGAGTAGCGTCAGATTTTAGCGTCTGTAGGATTTCTCTTCTGTCTTTGGTGAAAGACCATGAGCCATTTCTCCTGCTAGCGCTACTAGTTTGTTTGTTTTGGTTTTATTTACCCAGAATGCCTTGTGTTGTAGTCCACTTCCTGCTTTCGGAGTGGTCTCCAGTCCACCTGGGGTTCACGTATGCATTCGAACTGCACCAGAGTTCACTTCAACCGAGCTGAGACCGAGGTTAGAGATTCAAACCTTCACAAACAAATCAGACTTTCTACAAACAAACTGGAGTCGGATTAAAGCGGATTAAGCAGGGCTGGTGTGAACGCAACGTAAGGGTGAATCCTAAAGCAGAAAGCAGATTAGATGCAACCAAATCAAATGTGTGAATCTGGGAAGAAAAACAGTTTGTGGTTTTTTACCAAATACAACAGATGTTAAAATCTGATGCCACTCCATTTTATTTCCGTTTCATGAAGAAGGAAGTTGCACTCATGTCTTCAGAGATTTTTATGTTTTTAGCGGTTGGAAAAAATCATGAAGTAGCATTACTGCCTCCACCGCATCATACATGCATCCACACACACACACACACACACTTATACCAACTAAATAAATAATCTGGTTTTCTTTAAAAATTGAATAATGACTTGTATGCGCTTACTACCCACATTCTTATTCAATGTATCTAATAAATTAACCTTTTCTTTTAATATTTTCAAACTCTCTCCTCATACGTCTTCTTTTCTTTTCGATATTTATGGTTTTCATGTTGTGTCCTCATGAGGTTTTTGATGCAGCGCCCCCACAGGTGAGGAGGGGAACAGCTTTTTCAACTAGTTTGGTTTGTTTGACTCAGTGCAGCGTGGAAGCGAACCTCAGCAGCTGAAAATGTAGCAAATGTTGCAACTTTGGTCTAGAATCTACCGAACTATCAGGTGTGAAAACGCAGAAAAGCTGGTAAAATATCCAGCTTTTGTCTGCAGAGATGTTTCTGCGCCGTAAAGCTTCGGCCTGTCGTAGTTCCTGCTTTTCGGTTTGAGATCGATCCAACTTCTTTAGCTGCCTAAACAGTTTGGTTATGGCTGCTACCTGTGAAGACCGGCCTGAACTTTTGTTTCTGCAGCTGGAGGTTTCAACGCTCAACTATGTGAGCATCTGTGCTGGATTTCTTTGTCTAAAAAAACCAAAAACGGTGCAACAACCACTGATGTTTAGTTTAATCTGGCTTTCTTGTAGCAGCTGGATCTCTGCGGGATGGAGTCTGGTGTCAACCATGCGGTTGCATCACTCTGAGGCATGCGGCTCCAGCGGCCCAGACAGAACATTTGGAACGGTTAATGCAGACAGCACATTTTATTTTGTGCTGAGTTAAGCTGCCGAGGATTAGCTCCAACATTTCTGACTCTTATGCAACATAACATCACATTTTTCTGCTGAATAGTTTTGAAAAACAAATCCTCCCAGCTGCTTTTTTTTTTTCATATAAACATAATAATATCTGCAAACATTTAAAACCACATTTTGTTTCATCATGTGTTGTATCTATTGGAGGGATGATCAAGCTAAAAAGCTACATTTCACTAATCAATCGACTGGTTTTCTTTCTTGACTTGGTGAAAAATCACCAGATCTAAAAGTCAGCTAAAATACAAACAAAATTATTTACAAGTATCTTTTCAGGAAGATATTGGAGCTTTTTTAAGTAAACAATTCCTTGATATTAATGAAAAAGTATTAGTGACACTGTCAGATTATTTTACTGATGAAGATACATTTTTCCCATGTTTTAAGTCATAATCTGACAGAACTTTTTTTAATCAATACTAAGGAATTGTTTACATAAAACAAGATTCTATATCTTGCAGAAAAACTACGTATGAGTTAGTTTTGTTTTATTTTAAGTCTACTTGGATATTTGTGTTTTTGCAGTGTAGTCAGTCTAGAATTGCAACAGTCAGTTGAATTTTTTCTTTTTTTAGTTTAATACAATCTTACAAAAGGTCAGAGGTTATGCTTTGGTGCATCAATGGCAACAGTTTTATGACTTTATTCTCATAAGTTTATGACTTTAAACACGAGTTTTATTCTCATAATTTCTTGAGTTTATTCCTGAGAAGTCGTAACATTGGCAGGTGGGGTTTTTTCAGATCGGTAATCTGCGATCGGAGCGCCCCTGTCCTCCATGTTTAGGGTTCCTGTTCCTGGTCTTGGCTTGTTCTGCAGCAGCGCAGAATCGGCCTCTCCGCCTCCTGAATCAGTAGATTAGAGCCCAAAGCGTCGCTCCCGTCGTTGGGTCGTTCTTCTGAATCCTCTTAGCAACAAGAAGCGCAGGCGGCTCATGGATTTGCCAGGAGAAAGCTACTAATCCCAGCTCCCTGATACTCCCCTCTCATTCCTGTTTTCCACTCCCAGCGGAGGAGATCCGCCTTCAAACCGGTGACTCAGCCGACATCGGCCTGATCCGATCGACACCAAGAATGAATTTCTGATTTTAATCTGTAATCTGGCTGCTTTTATGTCTCCTCTCTGCCTCATCCAACCTGAAGTTTGTGTTTAAGATAAATCTAATTTAGTTTCCCTCAGTGATTACAAACTCTGCTTCAGTAAACCCTCAGGATCGCAGCAGCTGCTTCAGAGAAAATCAGGATAAAACAGGAAATAATCTGGATATTTTTTGTCTCTCTTGCATCAAACAGCATTTAAATTGTTCAGAAAGATAAAAAATAAGGCTGCAAACTTTTAGAAGCCATAGATTCGCTTGTGGAGATTATCTGGGTAAAGATGGAAACTGAAGCAAATTTATGGAGGTTTTGGTAAATAAATGCTGAGACATTTTGCCTTTTGTTTGCTATAAAACTTGAGTGTTTTTACTGAAAACACAAAAAATATATTTTTACATGTTTGAAATAACTTGTTTATGATATTGCAACATTATTCTGGCACAATTTCTATTTTATTCCTGTAATAGAGCAGAATATTCCTTATTGATCTTCTAATAAGGAGAAATTGCTTATTAGTTGACAAGCTTCTCTAAACAAGTTGTTGAATGTTAATATTTCAAATATAATGTAATGATATTAATTTGTTGTCTTTTTGATTTTATTTTTGTACGACTTAACTCTCGTAATTTGACTTATTTCGTATTTTACTTTTTGCACAACGTTTCTAGTTTCTCGTGATATTATGACTTGCATCATTTTGATTTTATTTTCGTTCGGCTTTATTCTCATATTATAATTTTACTTTCGTAATGCGACTTTATTCTCTTATTTTTTGTTATATTTCAACAAAATTCTTGTAATACGACTTTATTCTTGTATTCCTCCTACTTTATTCTCGTAATCTGGTCATTTTCGTCGTAGCCTCGCCTTAACACTCTTGTCAGGAGCATTAATGATGAAATCGAACATCGCCTCCTGCAGCGTCTCATCGACCGGCGCTCTCGCCTCATCCTGAGGGTTTAAAGATGGCGGCCTCATCAGGCGGTCCTTGTTCTCATGACGGCAGCCTTTGTCTCCCAGCTGTGCATCGGCTCCAATTATCTCTCCAGTTTATCTGTATGTGTGCGTGTGTGCGTGCGTGTGTGTGTGTGTGTGTGTGTGTGTGTGTGCGCGTGCGTGTGTGTTTGCGGATGTTTTGTGAATCTTCTCGCAGCTCATGACATATTTAGTTTCTTCTTCCTCCTTCGCGGTGGGGAAGGAGTGAGCGGGTTCACATCAGCTCATCCATGGCTGCACATCGCTTCAGCCGCCTCCTGAAAAATGAAGCACGCTTCCTTCACAGGACGAGTTTCCTGCTCCAATGTCCTCACGTCCTTCTGTCCTTCGTCCCTCCCTGATGTCCTCACTCGGGTTGTTTCTTTTATTTTCTTTCACTCCTGGCTTCCTTCGTTTCTTCCTTGAATCCTATATTTTTTTTCCTTCAAATTGTCCTTCCTTTCCTGTGTCCTACCTCCTCTACACCCTTCTTATCCTTCCTTTCTCTCTCATCCCCTTATCTTTGTTTTCTTTCCTCACTTGTTTTTCTTTTTTTTTCTTTCTGTGCCCAAAACAGCTTTTGTGTCAACTTTAACAATGAGTTTGTCCTTTCTTTGTTTCCTGTCTTCTTTCTTTGTTTCCTGCCTCCTTTTCCTTTCCTCTCCTCTTCCTCTGGAGAATCCGTCGCCTGCTGCCTTCCTGCGTCTCTTTCCTCGCTCACCGTTCAGCAGATGTCCTTTAACCTCCAGAAAACCCTTCCTTCAGTCCCTGCTGTTATTGTTTTCTGTGTGTTGTTGTCGCCGGGTGAAACTCCATCAGTTCTGCTCTCACTGTTTCTCTGAGTCTCTTCGGCTCCTTCAGGTTTTCGTTCCATCAATAAAATATTTGCTCTGCTGCTGGTTGCACCGCCGCCTCTCTCGGTCGGCCACGTGCGCAGAACGGACTTTGTTCCCACCTGGTCGTCTTGTCCAGGTGTGCAGCTGCTGCTCTGGGGAGTTTAATGACTCAGAACGGGGCGAGGCGTTTCCACCGATTTACACAATCCTCTAATTTATCTATAAAGATAAATTACTCAACTCTAGAGTTACGTTTATTTGTTGGAGAAAAGGTACTTATGCTACTCTGTACTTTTTAGTTTTACTCAATTTATTTTATTAAGTATCTCTATTCTTACTTGAGTAGGATTAACTTCACTGAATTTAATTCGTACATATAGAGGAGCACATTTCTGCCAAAAAACTCATGAGATTAATTTTTAAAAATTTCTACAAAAAAAATCTAAAAATGTTTTTAGCTTCGATTTTTTTTTTACATCTCCAAACGTCAAAAATCTTCTAAATATAACTCAGAAAATTTTTAAATTAATCTCACAAATTTTCAAGAAAAAGTTTTTGGAATTTCTTACTTTCAAAATTTGAAATTTTCTAAAGTAAAAAATGTCAACTTCTGAAACTCTAAGACTTCAGAAAGTTTTCAGGAAAATTCCTGAGATTAATCTCAAAATGTTCTTATTTTCTAGCAAATTTTCAACAGTTTGAGCTAAAAATTTCTTCATTTTTTCAAGATTCAGAAATTGAGTTATTAAAAATATTAGTTTCAAAAGTTTCAAATTCCAGTTTTTTTCTAGAAAATTCCTGAGATTAATCTCAGAAGTCTTCTAGAAAAAACAAGGACATTTCTGAGTTTCAGAAGTGGAAAAAATGTGCCAGAAATTTTTCAGAAAGTTTGAAGTTAATGTAATAAATTTCTTGGTTTCAAGTCAGTTTTAACTCTAAAGTTGAAAATGTTCAACCGTTGCAACTTTGAAATTTCAAACTTTTTTCTTGAAAATTTCTGGGATTACTCAGGAATTTTCTGGGGGGGGGGGTTCTACCAAATTTTCAACGTTCCAGCTCAAACATTTTCAAATATTTTTCCTAGAAAATATCTGAGATTAATCTCAAACTTTCTGAGTTTTTGGACAGAAATGTCCTCCTTTTTTCCCGGCCTATAACGTCCCCAATGCGCCGCCGTCTGTCCTGGAGGTCATTATTGTTTGTTCTTTTTATTCCTGTCGTGGGCGGAGTGATGACTCTGTCGGAGCAGCAGAAGATGGAAGCACTGCAGTGTAACTGAAAACCCCCAGAGAGGCGACGGCTGCTGCTGTTTCTGCTCCTGGCGGTGATCAGGATGTGTTATTGCCCATTAGCAGTCTGCCTGATGCAGCGTTTTCTCAAGGAGAAGGTGGCCAAGGATGCGGCGACCCCCTCGGTCGGCTCATGTGGGACAAACAGACACAACGGCTGTTTGTACGCTATCATTAAAAAACTAGATGGAAATGTCTCCGCTGAGCTTTTCTTCCTAATTACGTTGAAGCTTCCTCCTTCGTTCGCCACATTTTGTTCAATTATAGGTGTTGGTGTGAGATGAGGAGGCTGCAGATCTCCTCCCAGTGGCAATAAGCTCGGCATGTTTTGTGCGCTGTGTAATTTAGGGAGGAAGAAACGAGCAGAAACAAGAGTTTTCTCAGACTGAGGGAAATTAAAGCTGCTTGAAATAGAAAACGCTGACAGACACACAGGATCGTTTCATCTACAGGCGAACGTGTTGAGTTTCTCTTATAAAATCACAGTTAAATATGGAGAGAGTATTAAAAATATTCAGCAATATCTAAACAAACTGGAATGACAAGAAAACTCAAGCCCAGGATGTGACATTTACCAGTCGAACTATAAAACTTCACCAATATCCAGGAGTTATTTTCTTGAATTGAGTTCATCTTGCTGAAAAGTTTGTCTTAATTCAAAGATAAAGATATTTGCACTAGAAACTAGATAAAAAAAATACTTGCTAAGACTTTGTGTTTTTGCAGTGCAGAGCAGATGTTAACCAAGATTGCACAAAACTAAATATGGCTCAATACCACTTGAAGGTCCAGCTGGGCGGCCGCACAAACTCAGCCAAAGGGCCACAATTGGCCCCTGAGCCACACTTTGGACATCCATTATATGTGGGCCAAAATTGTAGACTCAAAAGTCTTCGCAGGCCAAGAAAAAAAAAAAAGTAGCTCAATATGTTCAAAACTTGAAAAGGAATTTATGACGGTGCATCAGGACCATTGCAGATAGAAAAAGAGTACATTACTGCCAAAAACTCAGAAATTTTATGATTAATTTATAAAATTTCCTAGAAAACTTTGACATTTTCTAGAAAAATTCAGAAATTTTCAAGTTTTTTTTTGTAGAAAATATCTGGCATTAATCTAAAGATTAGGATTTTTTCTAACAAATTTTTGAGATTATTCTCAAAATTTCTGAGTTTTTTTTGGCAGGAACTTACTGCCACTTTAATTTTGTGTGTTTGCTGTATAAAAAGAAAGACATCTAGTTTTCAGTTTCTTTTGGGCTCTATTGAATAAATTTATTTTCAGTGGTAAGAGCAGGTCGCTTTCTTTCGAAACGTTTGCTATATTTAGTCAAGTTTAAGAAAGAATGAAAACTGATTTGGGTCAAGTAAAGTCGACTTTTCAGTAAATTATGTTGGCAACAATTTTTACCCTGATTACAAATTCAGTTTGGCATCTATGGGCCAAACTTGTATCATTTTTGAATTGTAGTTGGGGGGGCCGCACAAAATCAGTCCAGAGGCCATAAATTGGCCCCCAGGCCACAGTTTGGACACCGCTGCTCTAACTAATAACCATATGAACGGAGTTATTATGAGCCCGCTCTCTTCCACATCCACAGGATATGACTCGTCAGGGAGAAGAGTGAAAGCGCTGTCCTTTGTCGTTATTCCCTTTTTTCTGTTTTGCATAATTTTGTCCAAAGATGAGGACGTTTTTTTTTTTTTTAATGAATGCTGCAGCTGCACACCTCTATCGGGCATCTTGATCAGAGATAAAAAGCAATCAAGCTCTCCAGAGTATCCCATTAGTGTGATGAGATATGAGCACAGCTTGGAGCGCGGAGCTGAAATTGTCTGCTGTTTTCACACAAACCCATTAAGTCATTTGATCAGCGCCGGGCTAATTATAGAGGCTTCCGAGCAGCGAGACGCCCTTACCGGCCTCAACCTCCACGTTACTCCCCTCCAAAATACTCGCTCTCCTCATAAGATGTCCTGATCGTTAACATTTCCGACTCTTCATAAACGCCGTCGTGCTGCTACTCGCTTGTCTGCATTTAATTTGCTGCTGAAGCTCAAATGAGAACTAAAAGCTCTGAAAAATAATCATTTCATTAATGAATTTAAAAGTGACAGAAACAAAACAGAATCACAACTTGCTAAAATGTTACTTTGACATTCAGATGGAAGAATCCGAATAATCCCTGCGGTTCTGTAACGTGGTGAGTTGGTATTCGTTTCGGTTCTGCTGGGTTCTGCTGGTGGTGTTTTTACAGAAATGGCATCAAAAATAAATCAGACAAGATGGAATATATTCAACAACAGATGCAGATGCTCATCTGTGTGAGAATGGCAAAGATGAATATAACCAAAAGGGCTTGGGTTTGAAATTATTAAGCAGATTAATCGCGATTAATCGGGTATTGAGATAATCATCAACTAATTCAGTATTCGATTAATCGATAAGTGGAGAATAAAAACTAGAAAACAGGCTGTCTGGTGAAAGAACAAATCACTCAGAGCAGTAATTCACTCAAACTGTACAAAAATAAATACATTTAAAATAAAAAAAAAAACTTCATTGTTGACAGATGTATTGTACTTGGAACTTAACTAATCGCCAGAATAATTTATTAATTGTCAGAATAATCGATTGATCTGGTAAATTGTTAAATTTGATTAATTGTCAGAATACCCAATTAATTGAATAATCGATTAATCATCAGAATCATGAAGAATCAGAAGTTAGAAAAATAAATTCCTAATATGTTTTTTAAGATGTTAAAAAAATTTAATCTTAAAATTCCTAATAAAATAAAGGCTGAATTATTTTCAGCTTTAAGAGTTGGATGCTGCTATTTTTGGAAATGTTGGGATGCGGTAGGACCATAACATTCCACCCCGGCGGGTCGCAGGAAGCCGCAGGAAGCCGCAGGAAGGTTTGACTTTGAGAACAGAAACAGGAGGGGGAGGGACAAGGTCAAGTGTAACGCTCTTATTAAGTGCGCAGGTCTGACTGCAGGGCTTAGTGTTAACCACTTTATAAAATCAGAAATAGGTACGGCATGGAGTCATGATTGGGTGGATAATTGATGCAACTGATGCGAAGAGCTTTGTTTGTATTGCTATTTATTGCAGTAGAAATAATAATGATAATAATAATGACAATAATAATAATAATAATAATAATACTAACAAACAAACTAAACAAAAATAATTTGTTCAAAAGAAACAAGGACGGGAAAAAAAACCCAACCCAACAAAGAAATAATAATACTTCAAAACTAAATGTAGTTCAAAAGTCCAAGAGCAACGGGAGAATTGTTCTTTTCCTTTAGATACTCCCTTAGAGTTTATTTTGTTTCCTGTGTGGAAAGTGTCGTTTGGTTTTCCTGTGTGGAAAGTGTCGTTTGGTTTTCCTGTGTGGAAAGTGTCTCTTTTTCCTACCACCAGGTGGTGTGTGGGTAGCTCGCCATCCTCCGTCATCAAGCGAGTCGATGAAGGGGGAGAAAAAAAACCTGACCGTCGAGTAACGGATTGTCTGAGGAAGTGGATGTTACTTGTTCTCATCAGAAGGTAAATCAGGCATCAACAAAGCCCAACCTGGTGAGTATTACAGCGGATATATTAGCGGCGCTAGTATTGCTGATACAACGTCAAGTTCAGATGGTAC